CGTGAGAGCTGCACGGTGTCCATGTTCACATGTAGTCAAACAGAACGTTTCTCCTCTGATTTATTTCTATGACATTGTCAAAAACCCCATACACAATCATATTGACGGTAACCGTTAAAGCCTTCCCAAAACGTATTTCTGCTCTCAGGTTCCCGGTTTTAATCAGGGAATAGTGATCAGTGCATTCCTGGTCGGGAGACAGGTCAAAGGCAAACAAGGTGTAACCCTGTGCAAACTCCTCACGGTCGATTAACAGAGAATGATCTTTCATGTGTTTACCAGCTGTCTGTACCAAATTCATGTATTCTCTCACGCAGCGTCCTGCCTCGAAGTCCGGTTGCAGAGGCTTGGTCGGTATCTGTTCACCATCCACATACAAGGCCATAAAATTAATATCGTAATGTTTAAAATGAAAGGGATTTTTAGCATAACTTCCGCTAAAGGCATCGTTATCCACAAACCCTAGGACAAGCATTTTGGGTAACTGTCCCAAGAACAGGTTCTCCTGGTTACTGACCCTGCTGCCCGCGGGGATGCTAAACACTTTCATTCCCACACGGTCCACGGGGTATTTAGCATTAGCGGTAAGCAGGGCCTCCGCGTGCCCCAGACGGACTCCCGGGGCCACCCGTACTTTCTTCACAAAAAGGGACGCTGATACAATGCGCAGTTTAAAGCCTTCAGCCGCACTGCCCATTAAACAGAAAGCGTCTTTACTGCGCGTCAGTTTAATTTTCACATCCACTCCGTTCAACAAAAGTTTTTCTTGAAAAAACAGGTCGCTATGTAAATGGCCCAGCAGCTCTACCGTTCTGCTCCCGGCCGTCAGCTTTGCACGCCTCACAAACCCTAGATTCCCTCCATCCAACTCTGTTTCTTCATGTTGTCCAGCAGTGTCTTTGTAAAACAGGCCGGCGGAAAATTGCGTGGCGAGGGTGTCGTCGCTGTAATTGAGCACCGATTCTATAAAGGCCCTGTAAGGGTAGCAGTTGTTGCTTTAGCTTATGAGGCGGTCTCCCAGCGTGACATCCAACTGACTGAAAATAGAGGCCACGGGGTAATTCACCAGACCCACTTCGGCGTCCGCGGCGAGTTCAGTTCCATCTCCTTTTACAATCTTGCAACACAGGTACAGCAGCGTGTTGTTTAAATCCATATAATCTATGCCATTCCCTGCTATAAAAAAATCAATGGGGGCAGACTCCGTAATGGCCGATAGAGGCGGCACCTCGATGTAAATGCTTTTCTCGATGCTGGTCTGCGTAGGGGCTATTTGAAACAAGTCTAGTTCGGATTTGGTGCACTCTTCAGACCCGCAGTGAACAAAAGCCATGTTGATTAAAATATGTCTCTTTTACCAGGCAGAGCGCGTCTCCTCTTTCGCCCAGGCTTCCTCTTGGACTTTCGCTTATGGCCGGCCCTGCGTGTCAAAGCCCTTCTTTTAAAGGGTTTCGGGGGACCTGTGCGTCGCGGGTATGACGTATTTCTCTTTCTCTTCCTCCTTTTAATGTACATCAGCCCCGATCCTTCCTGTGAAGCTGTATTCCCCACCTTCTCCAGAACAGCACGGGAGACATGACCTACCACATCTTTAGCTATGTTTTGAGCGGCGGTTTTTACGTGGGGTTTAATAATCTCTAGCCCCCTCCTCAAAAGCGGTACGGCTTTTCGAAAGAGGCTACGAAATATTCCACCCACACCCGCCCCGTACATCACGGGGGCCCCATGATATCCAGGAAGGGCGTATCCAGCCTGGGCTTTGTAATAGTTCCTGTAGATGGTGGGGTCGCCATAATTTTTTGGGATCGCCATAATAGGGTTTTGCTTTTTTTTAGAAACCTCGCTCTCTCCGCGGCCGCAGATGCAGCTTGACGATCACCTTGCCAAAGCGAAATGAGACATCTCTGTTCTGATCTGTCTTTATTTCAATGGTGATGGTGTCGATGTGGTGTTTACTGACAGGGACGTAATGAGGTTTGTCGTAGGTGATGGTAACAAACTCGTTGTTCCTTCCTCGGACAGGGACGCAGCGTAACAGGGGAACAGAAAAGTCCCCCACAAACTGGTGTTCTACGATATCCGTGTATACAAACAAGGAGTTAAAACCTCCTGCGATGTCTGCCGAGAAGGGGAATTTTTGGACGTTGCGTTTGTGGCCCAAACCCAGAATGTTAGCTAGCTCCCCGCCAGTAGAAAACACGTACATAAAATCGGTAGATTTAAGTCTCACTTTTCTACCCACAGGGTCGTAGTTCATGACCACCTCAGGTGGTCCGGGATGCCGAGCCACGTTGCTGTTCATATGCTCCAGTAATTTGGGTATGGTCGAGTAATAACCTCATCGTAGGATGAAATTCCACGTTGTAGCTCCAAAGGTGATTTCGAAAGGGGTGTCTTCGTTGATAGTATTCCAGCTGTGCGGGTATTGTATTTCCACTAACCCCACCTCCCAGGCACCCAGGAGATCCAAGGGCTTAATTAGCCGTATTGTAAAGTTCGAGATGGTGTTTTGGGGAAAAACTGCAGAGCTGGCATTGCTGGGCAAAGTAATGTAAAACCCGCCGTCACTCATTTTTCTCTCTCTGTCCTTGCAGAAGGAATCTTTTGTTTGTTTGTTTGTTTGTTCGTGTCTAGATGTCACAGAGTTGAGAAGCTTCCACCCAGCTGTTAAACTTATCAGGCCACCCCAACCATTTCACCAGTAGCTGCTTTTTTCTCCCTTTTCCTTTCTCTGCTAGAACTTTTTCAATCCTGTAAATCCTGTCTTGTTTGGGGTTTACTTTTTGTAATTCTTCAGGGTAAAAAGATCCAGTAACTGCCTCACCCTCGTAATCTTTTAAGCGGTATACAGGTCTCTGGCCCCTGGTTAAGGCTTCATCCACTATGAATATCTCATCGGTAAACGTCTGTTCATAACCTTTTTCAAAAGGGCCTTTGGTTTTAGATAGTCTCACGTGGTCACCTTTTCTAAAAGGGGCAACAACCGGTTTTATTTTAAAATCATCTCCGTAAACCGTTTTCCATACCTTCAGGGAATTTGAAGGGTTAACATCAACGGGTCTGGTACGTATAGTTCTGTGAAAGCTCTGGTTGTAACTCTTTATAAAGTCAGGTAAGACATCAATGTAGCGAAAGGTGTTATGGGCTGTAAAAATATCTCCACATCCTAGTTTTTAACGTTCTGTTAAATCGCTCCACAACCCCTGCTTTGACTTCATTATTGGTAACAAAATGGTGAACTCCATGACGCTTTAACAATCCACTTAAAGGTTTGTTTAAAAATTCTTTCCCCCGATCGGTTTGTAATTTTTGAGGCACGCGACCTTCACTGAAAATAGCTTTAAAGGCCTTGGATACCTCACCACTCGTCTTGTCTTTTAGGCCTAAGGCCCAGGCATATTTGGATAGAATGTCTATCACTGTTAAGATGTACTTAAAACCGCTGTTGTGTTTGGAGAACCGGTGCATATCCACCAAATCTGCCTGCCACTGCGCATCCACCTCTGAAACAATGGTCTTGTTTCTTTTAAAACGTATTTGAGCCGGTTTGTGTAAAGTGTAAGCATCCTGGTCTGAAAGCCATGCTGTTACCTGTCTTCTGTTTAAAGTTTTACTATGCTTTCTGGCCGTTTGAAAAAGAGGGTTGACCCCGCCGAAGCTCCCAACTTCCCCGGGGGCGTAATATATTTTCTTTAGCAGCGCCGTCTGTGTAGACATAACTGTTACTGGTACCGTCTTTTACTACCACGAGTATGAAAGGGAACACATTCATATTGACACATTTAAATAAGTTTTATTAATCGCCTGGTTTAACACGACCTTTTACAGCCACTTATAAAATGGATACCATGACCCCTACCCTAAGGGAGTCTCAGATGGTTCATTCTTCCATTTTGTCCTTTTCGGCTTGAGATCTGTGTCTCAGACATGAGCAAAAACAGCTGACGCAGGATATGTTTACTCTCACAGGGCTTCCAATGTGTAAGTTCTTAAAGGCCTCTAAAAAGGCATCGTCGACCTGTTGAGAGATTTTCAGAAAAGAAAACGTGTAAGCACCCCCACTGCTTGTTTTTTAATTTACGCAACCCCCGGTTCCTAACCCATTACCCACCCCTCCTCGACCGCCGCTTCTTAAGCATTCATTTACCTGAGCGCCGTCTTTTCCGTTCGCTTTGTCCGCCGGTGACTCCCCCGAGCCGCGATCGCCTTCCACCTCTGAGGGAGTGGACAAAGAGAGGCCGTCACGCTCATCGGTCTGCCTCACGAGGGTTTCGGGGTCGGGTTACGCCGTATTCAGCAACGGCTGGGTCAAAGGGTCCTCCTCGGAACTGTCGCTGATGTAGCGCTTTCTCCACACAAGGTCAAAGGTGGTTGGGGCTAAAACAAAGTCCGAAGTTCTCACGGGGGTGGTGAAGGAGTCCATGTTTCCTCTCAGCAGCCTTTCCGCGCTTTCGAAAACACGTGTCCTTGGTAAGAGATGGCCGCCTCCTCTGTCTGGCGCTGGGACTTATGGGGTAATGGTGCTGCACTCTGATTGGCAGAGGGCCTTGGGAGGCGTTCTTAGTGGGGTCACACGACTCCCTTCTGGAGGGGTCACCCCAACCCAGAAGTCACCCTGATTGGTCAAAATCTCCTCTCGGGGCGGTCCTTTCGGCAGAAAACCCCTCCTGATTGGTAGAGGGTAGTGGGGGGAGTTCTTAGAGGGGTCACACGACCCACTTCCGGACGGGTCACCCCCGCCCCGGAAGTCCCCCTGATTGGTCAAAATCTCCTCTTGGGGCGGTCCTATCGGGACGAAACCCCTCCTGATTGGTAGAGGGTGGTGGGGGGAGTTCTTAGAGGGGTCACATGACACACCTTGCTTCCGGTCAGGTGGCACCTTGACCCCGGAAGTAATACCCCATGGGGTGGGACTTCCGGTGACAGGTGGGCGGGCCCAAGGGGTGGGGTTAGGGTTTGATTGATGTTAGGGCCCTTATACTACTGAGGTCTGAGTATCACCGGACTACAGGATCTGACACAATAAAGAGGAAAACAAATTGTTACATTGTAACAAAGAAAACAAACAATGCTACTGTGGTCAGAGGTCCACCGCTTTCTCAAATGCTTTGTTAAGGTTAGAAATTGGTTTGATAAGAGTATTAGTAGCCAGGAAATTTTAAAGAAGGAAGGTACCAACGGTAGATTTAAAAGTTAGAGAAAGTGCCAATGGCAAAGGAATTTTTAACAATGGTAGGAAGACTGACTACATACGAGGTTATTAGAGAGACAAGGTGGATGAGGTAATGTCTTGTATTGGACCACCTTCTGTTGGTGAGAAAGAGAAGTTGGTCCAATAAGAGATACTACTTCATGCACTTAGTCTCGCTAATACCTGGGACCGACACGGCAACTACATTGCATACATAATAGGTTAGGAAGAAGAAAAGACCATATAGTTTTCTTAAGTCACTCATGTCCTGATACAAAGAAGTGACAAGGAGTAAGAAGAAAGGAAGCGAACAAAGGAAGGAGAAATTCATGAATAGGGAGATTATAGGGCTTGCCTACACACAAACTGGAACCAAAATAACAAATCTGGTTTAATTCACACTATTAGTTATTTCGGTGCAGTCCTATCTGTGGACACACAGAATATGACTGCCCTATTTTGATTTAGCTTAAGTGAGTACAAAAAATGGACTTAAATTGAAATAAAGTAATTATTCCAAAACAAATGTCCACCCTCAGACTTGCACCAAAATAATAGTATGAATTAAAACAGATGTTAATTTGGGTTCCAGTGTGTGGGTTGACAAGCTCTTAATTGAGAATTAGGGCAATCAAACTGAAAGGGGTAGGCGAAGACAGAGCAGAAATTATAACTCTGCATCCTAAGGCCCATTTTCAGATGTGCTAAGGCAATGATTCTCAAAGTGGTCTGCTAAGCTGTTTCTAAATAATGGTCAAATATTTCAGTTGTCAAGGAGCTTTGACTTAGATTTTTAGGATTTTCACATGCTTTAAAGAAAAACACTATCTAAAACCCTCTTTCTGCCCATTATGCAGCTGCTACATGTGTGCCTGAAGTTTCTTTGGTGTCAATTCAACTGTGATGAAATTTATGGATAACCAAGTGTGGTAGGGCAGCAAACACACAGGAGGACAAATCCAAACTGCAACAATTAAAGCAGTGGGAAGCTATAGCCAAGGAGAGATTTGGTACTAATAAACAGAATTCTAAGCTTATGAAGAGGAAGCAAAACAGCAAAGATACAGAATTGGTAGAAGTAACTGAGCAGTGGTACTCATGAAAGCAAATGCATTTTCAGCCTCTTGTCGCGCTACTTTCCTAATATTACTTTGTGACCATACACTCTAGGTATTGCAGAGAAAGACAGAGTGGAATGTGTCTACAAGATCTTTATCTTCTGACATGATCCACAAAATGGGAAAAAACATACAATTATTGCTTTAGGTGACAAAGATTAAAAAAATTTCGCCAACCTGTATGGTTTATGTTTCCATACAGCTTCTTTCTTATACCAACTTGAAATGATATAGGATGTCATAGGATCAGATTGATACAACTCTTGTCTGCTTTTTAACCAACACAACTGAGTTAGAAAGGGAGGGTAAGATTCAAAGGAAGGCTGAAAAAAGACTGCAGAGGTGTATGAGCTCATGTCAAACTGCCTTTTATTATTTAGTATTTGTATTACCATTGTGCCTAGGAGCCCCAGTCATGGACCAAGGCCCCACTGTGCTAAGTGCTGTATAGACAGAATAAGATGACTGTCCCTGCCCCAAAGAGCACCTTGCCTTTAAAGAAAGAGTAGATACACTGATCAGAACACTTGTAGTGATGAGAAATCCAATGTCATAGTTTAGGATGTAAACTTAGCACCTGCACAAGACAAGAAAAATTGTCTTTTACACCTACAGCAAAGAACAACAGGCTAAAGACACCGTGGGTTCTTTTTTGCCTTCCTTTGAAGCAGAAGTCCAGTGCAGTAAATCTTATGTGCTTATGCCATTTTCTTCTCAGGAACCCATCCACTCATTGCACTGATATGCAAAAATCCCAGCTAAGTACATTCAAGATGGTAGATGTTGGTTCAGCTAGGCAACTTCCATAAACATTGAAAGGGGTAATCTCACAACATTCCTGCAGGCACAATTTATTCCAGATAATTAATGCACAAAGCCCATCACTTATCTCAAAGTGTCAGTTCAGCAGTGATTTTGGACATAACAAATATAGGAACATGCCCTCAATAACAGATTGGAATCTCTCCAGAAAATAATGATGGATATTTAGCAATGATTGGCTTCTGTTTTCATATACAGATTGCTGAAAAGATTATTTTTATCAGTGTTAAATGTACAATATATTTTAGGCTGCAGTTAAGTGTATAGAGGAGACAATGGGATTCAAATTAAAGTGCAATGCACAGATTACAAGTTTAGCTTAGACTTGCAAAATGCTGTTGCCAACTGCTGTGTTTAATTTGAACTTTATTTTTGGATTCCAAGAAAATCAGTAATTCTCTTGCCATATTAACGATGGGGTACTCTGAGAAAAATGGGGTCCTTGAGATTCTAATTGTAGCGAATAATAGTACTGTCTCAAAATATCAACTAAAATGGTTATGGAAATAGACCAAAAAGTAGTCGTAATTTAACCCAAGCCATCTCAGCGGAAAGGGAATGTTCTCAGCAAAATAAAGGTTCAGAAGGGGTGGAAAGTTAAACACATCCAAACAGGAAATATTAAAAATACAGAACTTGATTGGCAGCAGGTTGGATTGTGATTACTCACCTAGACCCCAGTCTTTCCCCTTCCTTCCTCCCCCCCAAAATACAGCGTTTGGAAAAATAATCAGCAGTGCTTATTTACTAACAATGACATAAAATACATCTTAATATATTTTTTTATTTCTTTACAAATTAAAAGATGCATTGGAAAAAAACAAGAGTGAAGAAAATGAAAGGTTCACTTATGAGCTTATTTTCCCCTCTTATATTAATACTAGAAATTAGTATTGTGGAAGTCTGTGGTTGCCGAGCATCGTATTCCCGGGAAGCTCTCTTCAGCGGTTTAAAAAAAAACAAAAAACAAAAAAAAACCCTCTACATTTTTGGTTGGAGGCAGTGTATGGGGTAAAAAAAAAAAAAGCCACATACATACAAAAAATGCTGAAGAATTGTCTACTGCATCTTAAAGGAGTTTCTTCATTACTGTTCTCGTATTCCCCTCTGTGTGTAGTGATACGAGAGAAGACAAAACTAGCGGCAGTAGAAGAAAACCAGATTTACACACAATGTAAATGGGACTAAAACCACAGAGCCAAGTTTTTTGTTTTAAAACAAAACCGGTCTTCTGCACAAGGATCCTATTTTGAAAAGACAAGTCCAGCTAAAACATGTCCTCTAACTGCATCCAATCTGTTCACCCATTATTCTGCATATTCTCCCATTTCTCCCTCACATCTTCAGTGCTGCTGCCCCCTCACTAAATCCTGGGTATTGTAAGAGCTCTGTCAGTGTTAAAGTAAATTACTCCCCTTTCAAAAATTAATGAACAAGCCCTTAGAATTTTGAATCTGATTTAGACTCATCACTCCCCTTTGCAGGAGTCCTCTCTTCCATCCTTACAGAGTGGAGAGGCAGAGTGGCCAGCCACAAAGTGGATGGGCTAATCTGTCTGAGGTATCCTAGGTTAACAAACAGGCTTATAAAAAGTTTTCTATGCAGATGGATCAGTAGGTAGAACAGGGGGTATAAACATACAGCGTTGAAAATATTCTTTCCACTATGGCACCTTCCCAACAACTGAGGTCAAGTACTTGGTATTACCTTATGCAGCGCAGTTTAAACTCTATTTTTGTTCCTTTGCATCCCCTTCCTTGCACTCTGGGGTACAAAGCAGCCTCAAGTTTGCACTGGTAAAATTCAGATCCTTGCTTATTTGCTGTGATTCAGCCTAGTCTGAACAGAAAACGGCCACCTTGCCATCCAGATCCTGTTCCCTACAGCCCATGTCACCTTGCTAAAAATATTTCCTATTTAAACTGAAACAGGGAGGCGGCGGGTATGATCACCATGAATAGAACAGTGTAGGTAGGCTTTAACAAAACAAGTGAGTGACAAGAGGCCATAGAACATGGAAGGGGTAAGACGATGCTACACAGAAAAATAAGATAGGGGAGGTTGCTCTTCCCAAGGAAGAGAAGGTGGTTGTGGGGGTGCCATTCATGCCAATAGAAGGCACTGATTCTACCCCTCTCCCATTCAGCAGCTGTTGATTGTTGCTCACTCACTTTTAAAAATTATTTATTCTACTACAGTTCTGCACTGCAACTCTTACTACAATAAAGATGTAGAGATATGGGAAGGATTTGTCCTGCTAGCCCCTGGCTCACAGCTCAGCTGATAAGTTGTTTGGTTTTTTTTTTTTAAATGAAGACTCCTGGGTCCAGAGGGCCACAAGCTGCAGTTTGTGCTCTGCATGTTGTATTTTCCCCTAAACTAGGAAGGAGATGTAAAAAAATGCTTAAGTGCTCCAACTCCCACCATCTGGCTGGATGGCCTGCCTCCTGTCCTCCCCCTCCTGGCTCCTCTTCACTCTTGGAGCATGCACGCACGCACACAAACACACAGCAACGACTAGTAGTTTTGAAGAGTTATCGCTTTTTCACCCAATGCTGAATCATGTACAGTGAACTGAGAAACTACATTCATTACAACAGGATTAGCGAGCATGGGGGGGGGGGGGGGGTAGATTCCTGCCAAGTACAGGAAACTTAGAGACAGGTAAAAGACCTGTTTCAAAAGCCTTTTCTCTGCCCTCACCAGGAAATTTTGCATCTCTCTCAAATGGGGCTGGGAGAGGTTGAAAGGATCTCTGCTTATGCAATGTGTATTAAAAATTACGGAATTGTACAGGTTTCTATGTTGTCCTTCTTGAGGGAGCTGGGCCCATGGATCAGGTGGTTAGTGGAGATTGAAATGTCACTGCTGGAGTCCAGCACCACTCCCTCCTCTAGCTCAGTAGCTGCCGAATCTCCTTGTGCATATGACAGAGGAAGTCCACATATGAAGCCCCACCACTCATGCTCTTGTCCTCCACCAGAAAGTGTTTGAATAGCATCTCCAATTTATCTTCTTGCTTCACAATTATTAGCTATAAGCAAATAAAAAAGATTTGAGTAAGCATCAGCTAGTGATTTTGGTACATAAGAAAACATCTAAGTGAGATAAGAAGGTTGAGCAACTAAGAACTCCAGAACAAGAAATCACTGAAGCCACCTACTCAGAACATCTTAATTTCTGTGACGAAGGTTAAACCTCAAGCAAGCTTAGAAGTATTAGAGTGTCCAGGGTTGCCTGTACATTAAAGGGGTTCTAGAAATTCCAGTTTTGGCTAGATGACCAGTAAAGCAGAGGAATTCTACGCTTAATCAGTGGTCCAGTGAACAGAGCACAGGACTGGAAGTTCAGGAGACCAGAGTTCCATTTCCAGGTCGGCTACTTTAAGAAGTCACTTAACATTTGGTCTTCAGTTTCCCCATCTGAACATGGGGACAGTGATGTTTAGTCACTTCACACAGTATTTTGAGATCTGTGGATGAAATGGACTGTATAATCAAAATACAAAAGTTATACCCAAGTGACTAAATATCCAAAATACAGGAGGACAGTAATATTAAAAAAACCCTTTTCTGTGGTCATGGAATGTTAAGCCAGTCAGTTGTCCAGATAGGCTGAGCACCAGGGCTTTTTAACACAACACCAAGCAACAGCAGGGGTGCAGCATTAGCAAACTATGTGCGTATGGTCAGGTGTGGTGCAAGGTAGGAGGCTGAGGGCAGAGCACCTCCAGCCACCTGACAAGTGCATCTCTAGCTCAATGTACAACGGCGGTGTGCTACTAGCAGTTGGCTTCCTAATATTGTATTTCTTGTTTCAGAAAGCCTTTTAAAGGTTTGTTGGGGGAGGAGCAGTAATACACAGAGCCCTGCAAATCTGCGGACCATGTGTGTGGTTCATGGATGGACGCAGATCCAAATTTTATATCTAGAGCCCTGTGACTTAGCGGATATCCACGGACCATATTTGCAGATTGCATGCGGATAAAAAAATTTGTATCCGCGCAGGGCTCTAGTAATACAATATGTTTTGCCTCCACTAGAGCCAGAGCAGAAACAAACAGGGAAAGGTTATAAACCTCCTTTTAAAATGAATTATTTAATTTCCCCCTTATGGCTTGCGTGGAGTAGTCAGGCCCTTCTGCTGCCCCTCATGAGTTCTGATGCCCTTACAACAGCACTGTGAGACCCAATGGCTACTTCCATGTCTTCCTTTCTATTACAAAAGCTAAACTGAGCACCTAGTTGTTTTTACAATAGTACAGTATATAGATTTTAGCAGACCCAAGACTGGAAATCAAACATTAGTAAAGGCTCAGGCAGTCTCTCTAATGGGGAGAGGCTGTTTAAACTTGCCCTTTTCATTTCCCCTCCAAGCTTATCTGTACTGGGCGTCTATAAACTTTTTATCTTAAAAATAGGTCAGGATTTCTAGGACTGCTCCTAATTCTTTTCCTTAAGACTTTGAAAGCAGCCCAGCTGCCTCTGGGCTCCGAGTTCCACAGCTGAGCTGGAAGTAGAAGTGATGTCCTCCTTTTGATACATCACTGCTATCACTGCTCCAGCAGCAGGGCTTCACAGGAAAATCATTGCTTCACCTCCATGTAACTGATGGGTAGCTTATACCATCACTACCAAATACGGCCTAGTTACTTCCATGGGAATTGCAATAATTTACTCCATCTGACCCATAAGGCATAATGGTTTTGGAGATGAGGTCCCAGCCATGTTCATTTGAGAGTTCATGTATGGCTAGACCACCACCAAGGCGGTCCAGGCTACTATTGTCCAGTGCCATATATACAGAGCCCATAAAATCTGTAGATATCCGCAGATTATTTTTGTGGATTGCAGCTTGGATTCGGATACAAATTTTGTATCTGCACAGAGCTCTACAGCACACACTCACCTGAAGGAGCGGCTGTCACTCAGCCCTCAGGCTCCAGCTCGGCTCTCTGAATCACACAGCAGCGGCAATAGTCCACTGGGCATTCTGGGAGTTGTAGTCCCCAGCTTGTGCAGACTGAGGAGGTAAGCTACAACTCCCAGAAGGAAGCATGACTGTGTGCTCCTGCGCAGTGAGCCAAGTGCAGCATGTTTGAGCTGCTGCAGCTGCATAGGGGTGTCTGAGTCCCCCACTGGGAGGGTGGTGCTGCACCATAAGCGCTCAAGATTGTAGCTTTCCTGCCCAGAGCAGGGAAGGAGGTATGACGGGGCGGAGCAGGTGGTGGGAAGTCTCTAGGGAGAAGTGGGGGGCAGATGAGGGTTTGGCACAGCCCTGCATCACTCTTGTGCAGTGACATGTGGAGCTGTTAGTAGAGCCTTTCAAATCCATGGATATCCACGGACAATTTATGCTGATCATGGATCGGATACGGATGCCAATTTTTGTATCCGCGCAGGGCTCTACATATTTGACTGCCACTTGGGACACTGGAAGAAAGTAAAGCTCCAGCCTAACGTTAATAGTAAATGCATTGAGACAGAAATGCAAGGTAAGGTTCCAGCAAAACAACAGCTGTTATGCCACAGAACCTCACTGCCAACAGCATGATGATACAGACATGTTAATTTCAAATAACAACAGAAGGCTGAGAACGGGTTTGATATTACAGATTATGAGAGTAGGATTGGTGTCACCTGCTCAGGAAAGGCAGTGGACGGAGATTAAAGAGCCACAACTAGGAGCCAAGTTCTTTACCTTCATGTAGCGGGATCTTTGTGCCTGGAACATGTCAATGATGGATCGCACTCTCTTAGAGAAGGGGTTTTCCAAGACTGGCAAGGTACTCTGGAATGCAAAAGACCAGATCCCCATTACACACACAGAATTACAGTAGTGTCAATAATCAATTTTGCTGCTTTCCTCATAACACACAGGTAAAAGTCCAGGCTTTCAGGCCAGTCTAGCTACTAGCTAGCCAGGAATAGGTGAAGTTATTGGAAAGACTATTTTTAAAACGAGATTGTTCAACAGAGGATAGAAATACAGAACTATTACCCCATTTGCCTGGCACATACTGGTAGTGCTCTCCTCACTGAATGGCTTGGTCAGATAAGCTATAAGAGTAACTTGCCCAGCTAGGCAAGTGGCTAGAAATCAGACTGAAGGAACTCAAAGTGAATAGTTTAGGTATAGCTAGCCTCTTAACTGTCCTTAACGTCACCAGCTAGGTAAAACAACAGAATAACACGTTAGCCAGAAGGAAGGTCCTGGGTTTAAAGACAGTGAAATGGGCTTGAGGTCTCACCTAGAACACAGCATATGACCATATTATTGGCCATATTGTGACCACCTTGCTCCAGGTATGGATGTGTTCTTCCTCTGAGTCCAGATCAACCTCCACCTATTTGTGCTAAAAGGGAACTCTAACCACCTCAGAGGCACTGTCTCCCCCAGACTCCAGAGGTCTCTGTGCAGTCCAGGGAAGGAGTGGGCAAGCTACTTATTGTTCCTCCTTTGGCCCAAACTCACCAGGAAAAGCTAATACATTCCCCAGCACTAGAACTTCACTGCTAGGGAGCCAAGGACCAAAGCAGGGGTACAAGTTATATACCTGGCCTGGCACAGCCTCTTAGGATCTGCCAGACTGGAGGGTGTGGGGACAGGCCCTGCTGTTAGTAAGCCCCTTCCCACACTCCTCAAGGGATGCGGTGGGAGATGGGAGAATCTCTGCAAAAGACTCTTAAGATTTCTAAATAAAAAACATCATCTCTCACAGTCTCATGCATGTGGCAGCAAGGGGACAATGTGGCCCCATGCTGGGCTTTAGCCAGCTTTTCCAAACTTGCTTTCGTGAACAGGGATATAAGTAGAGAGTTCTGAAGTTGATGTTCATGCCAGCTAAATCAAATGGATAAAACATTCTTTCCTATGGGCTACAATGAAAGTGCTCAATGAGATTTTAGGATGACGACCTTCTGAGTTGGATGCTCATTGCTCCAATTATTGGGAGTCCTGCACACATCCTCCCGCTAGCCTGCTCCCCCCTATCCAGCTCACCAGAGTGCTGCTGATGTGGTTGAAGGATGACACTCCAAAGAGGTTCTGGATCAGGCCCTGCTGTACATTCACTCCTACCCACACAAAGATGTTCAGTCCATTCTCTAGCAGGTACATGTCGCCCTTAGAGAGTCGCTCTTCAGAGTTCCGGATTGCCGCTGGCAAGGTGTCGCTGTCAACATCTACTTTGGTCTGTTCAAATATTAAATTAATCGAGCCCCTCGTTAGACATTCTTACTTAATGTTTAGCTGGGAATTACAAATGGTACAGAGCAAGGACTACATGGATGCCCCTAAGTCTTGCGAGCCACACCAATTCCTGCCCTAAGTTTCTCTGACTCATAAGGTACCTGCTCATACATTTCCTTCTTCTAAAAAAAGGACATCAAATCATGTACCTATCTGCAATGCTGCACCAATTGGGAATGAATTGCACTATTAGCTATAACATCCTTCCTGTTGAGTATGGTGTGAAATAGACTAGAGACGATTTACTGCTAACGAGAACAGATGAGCCTCATGGCCCTAGCAGCAATACTCCGCAATCTCAATACTGACTCCTGGGGTGGGAGTGTATTCTGCAGCTAGTGTTACTCCAGGGGTCTTCCCATTTAATTAAGGAGCAGCATCAGAAAAATCCCAATCCGTCCTCCTAGGTTGGAAGGATTGTGGTTGTCATGTAGGATTACAAGGATGCAGCAAGAGGATTTTCCAGGCTGCAAAAGAGCACATAGGACCCTGCTCACCCATTTCCACCGGGTAGGAGGAGGATTAAAAACCTTGTCAAATTCAGTGTGTGGTAATAAACATAAAATTTATGGTATTAAAAAGACACCTGCTGGATGGCACATCTCAACTCCTCTCCCATCGAGCTCTTACATCTCACAAGGAAATGTTACTCTTCTGGGGCGGGGGAGGAGGGGGAGGAGGTAGAGTCTCTGGAATGAAGCCTACTCGTGGTGTGCAACAAGGCTCAAATGTACTCGGAACAGAAGCACTTACCAGAGGCAAAAGCCTGGGGTAAAAGAAAACGTTTGTTTCTGCTACATCCATGGAGCTGACTAACTGGCGGATGTAGGCGCGGTCATCAGTGGTGACTTCTGCCCCAGGCTGCAGGACATCACTCTTCAACACACAGTTTAAGTACACAGGAAGCAACTTCATGCATTCAGGGAGGATCAGCTACAAATGGCAAGATGGGGAATAAAGAGATAGAAGTTAATCAGCCATCTCACTGAATGAGACAGCAGGTAATTTCAATGACCACAAAAAAAAAAAAAAAAAGAGAGGGAGAAACTTAGAAAGGAAATAGCAATGGATCACAGTTACAATTCCTTAGAATTCTGGAGCCTATTAGTTTTCACATTGTGTAGTTCATTCAGACAGGAACACTTTGGATCATTATGGCATCCTTAGTTCTTTAACATGTCTGATGCTGAGATTCATACACCCACCCTGTGGTTCTCTTACATCATAATAGTGCTTGAGAAATACTGTAGTAGTAGAGCCATACAAAGGAAGCTTGCCCAACACTGTAATAAATCTGAAGAGGCTCCACCCAAAACATTTAAAAGATCCATGATTAAACTTTAACATACTGAAGTGTGCCAGTCAAAGAAACCTAGTATCTAAGGAATGGGATTCCCTGCTATGGAGGCCTCTATTTAAGAGGTCAAGTATCATATAAGGTGCCGGCTCCTAAGAATCACAGGGCTCGTGATATTATAAGTTTCTCCTGAGGAGATGGTGACTGGTGTGCCTCAATGTCAGGAAAGTCTACCTGAGAAGTCGCTCTGAACAGAGCTTCTCTTCCAAGCTATCTGGTTATATTTCTGCCCCCAGCTGCTAAGTAAAGCACTCCACCCAGATTAAATGGGATGGGAGGAGTTCCCTTCTCAAGCTGAACCTCCAAAAGCTGCCATCCAAACTGAACCACAAGCAGTCACCTGGCCAGCAGAAGAGGGGCTAGCACAGTTTTTTCGGTAACATGCCAGAATCTGTGCGCACTGGTTGATCAGCGTGTCTCGCACTGTCTTGACTGGATTATTCAGAACCCCACGATACGCTGCACAGGAAGGCATGAAAAGAAAAAAAAAAAAATCAGCAGGGATGTTAAATGTTGTCATTAATAATGATTAACTTATAAAATGGTCTAAAATCTTTACTGTAGCCATGTGTAGAAACCTAGAGCAACCTCAGATGGTTTACATTATAGAATTAGTTATACTTCATTTTTTTCCTTTGTGGGAAAGAGTCTACACATTCCTACCGGAAACTCAAACAATCCCCATTTACCTTGTTTGAATGCATACTCTCCATCTCCCCACCCCACACACACCTTCAAGGCCCTGCAGCACGGCCAGCCACACTTCTGGGCAAGGACAACTGGTGAGACTCCTTGTAGAGCCTGGCAATGCCATTCCCTAAGTGGACAGCAGGGGTCACTGTGGAATGCAAGTGACCCTCTCTTCCTCTTGGAGAGAGCAGCACAGATGACTTCTGCAGTTCCCTGAACCCTATTAATTTGTATACTTTTAATACACACTGGTTTGGCACTATGAGAATGTTCATCGGTTTAACTACTGTGACGTCGGTGTGGGAGCAACTTTGTGTTTTTCCATGCCTGGAGCAGAGGAACTCAGGAACATTAAAGGGGGAAAAGCACTTTGGCTCCAGGACTGGACATATGCAGGTGGCAATAGCTACACACACACACATGCCTCTTTTTGTTTAGCCAGTCCACCGACCAGTCTTGGCATCTGACTCAACAGGCAGCAAGGCTGTGCCTTCTGTCTGCCCCTCAGTCCAGACAAAGAGTACTATGATCACAGCTATCTGTGGGAGAGAAAAGACTGTAGGAGCACAAGGATTTGAAAACTCCAACCACCACCTGTCCAAGTCTTTGGTGCAAGAAGGTGAAAAACAAGTGCCACTAGCTGTGAAAGAGAACTATAAAGTAATAGTAAGACTAGCACTGTCTCCAAGACAGTCTCTTACCAAACTTAGCCAAGAAATTGATGAGTGTGTCTGTCTCACAATTCCGGTAGAGGTCAGCAAGTTGCGTGCAACAGTTCAGGGAGAGGTTGTGAATGCGGAGTCGTCGCTGTCCTGCGCAGTTTGTGTACAACAGAGCACACTATAAAAGAGACATGTACAGAATGACAGAACAGTTAAATAGAACTCAGTCCTGCTACAGTAAGCAAATCAGCACATCCCATTTTGTTAACATCCGACCCTTTGATCTGGAGTGTAACCTCAGGTTAGCTACCTGAGCCTGAGAAAGGGGAGGTGATTTAGGGTTTGGCCTGCTGTACCCCAGAGCTAACTGTCCATCATTCTTTTTGTTGAAAAGCTAGTGGTTTTTCAACCAACACATTGTGCCTCTTCCTTCCTATATAAAAGCCTTCATATGGTGCATTAGAAAGCATTTAACACTATCAAGTCCCTCCCATGTGTGAACTTCCACTATTCCAAACAAGGCTTGGATAGCTGGACAGACAATTAGGATGATACTGTTCTAGTTTTAAAGGATTTACAATCAAAGCCAAGAGCATATAGACAAAGAATAGGGGATAGGAGGCAAGAAATAGAAAGAGACTGAGCTTCTTTATAGTTCCACATATGGGGAAAATGTCTCTGTAGGGAAGACTGGCTTAGAGAGTCTTGGAAAATGTATTGCCTGGAGGGCTTTGAAGAGGAGGTGGAATGGGAGAAGGACCCAAGGGAAACAGCTAGTTGTGTGGCTTGGGCAGAGAGGAAAGGAAATGCTTGTGAAAGTTTCACCATGGGCCAGTGAGGGAGGATGGAAGACTTGTTCTTTCAATAGGCCATCAGCATTCAAATTGGAGGGCGCCTCAGTCAAGTAAGGAATCTAGCAGAACCCCTCAGCAATGCAGACATATAACCCAGTGTATGAACAGCTGAGAAAGTGATTTTAATTCCAAAAGAGGGAACCTTATAGCAAGTTACACAGGTGGATGCTGTCACTACAAAGATCAGTGGTCCTGTATCTCCATCTGGAGAAGGTCTGGTAGCATACCAGCACATTTTTTAGTTTGAAAGTTCTCACCCACTCCCTTCCCTGCAGACTGTCTTCTGCCTCACCTGAAGAAGCGCCCCACTATCTTCACTCAGTTTGTCATCATGTCTGAATTCCACTGTGATGGTTTTATCACAGTCCAGACCCGCCAGCTCCACATCCGTCGTGTTGCTCATGTAGAAAGCTCCAAAGAAGTCCGTTGCTCGAATACCTGAAAGGAAAAAAAGGACACTCAAAGGTGAACAAGCCACATTTTATAGCAGAGTAGTCTAGCAGGCAGCATTTGGGAAGGTGCGGCAGACCTTGTCTATCAGGGACACTAAGTTACATTGAGATCTCTTGCTTCAGCTTTTCATTCAGTTTTGCCATAATCCCATGGACTTTAGAGCTTTACAAGGGCAGAGTTCGCAGCCTAACCTCGGTATGTTCCAGACTTTGTGTGTTTATGACCCTTCCCATTCCCTACATGTTTACTGGCCAATTTATTAAGTCTAGGCAATGCAAATACCCACCCGTGCTTGTGCGCACCCTCATCACAGCATCAAATCCCACTTCCTTTTGGACATCTTTGCGCAAGTCATTCAGGAACCGTTCTTGGTCTGTCTCCAGCTAGAACACAAAGCTCCAAGTCAGGCCTGACGCACCAAAAAAATCTGAGTTGCCCTACAGGCCTCAACGCACATAGACCAAAGGTATCTCAAATCCTCTCTTCCTTCCCCCGAAAGAGCCTTCTCACAGATCTCAACATCCCATTCCCCAAAATGCCCTAGGAGCCACTTCTTTCAAAGCTTTATAGTGAGTAAAAAAATACCAAACTAGGATTTTAAAAGTCCTAGTCTGTATACATATTATTTCAAAGTGTAGGTAGGGAATCCTGCTCCGTACAAACTGCTGGGGACCACTGCACCAATGACTGCTAGTGAGAGGGATTCAGAAAACCTTTACCACAGAACACCACTGGGGATATCTACACTAGGTGAGAGGAGCAGAACTCTGGCTAAGAGTTTCTGCAATCTGTTGTGATGGAAATAGAAATCTCTGGCCACTGTACAACACATATAGAGGATTACAGTCAGTTTCTGAAGTGCTGAATCCCTGATATTATGTAATATGAGATTTTCAGGACATGGCAGATTTAGGCCCAACTACAGACAAGTTTCATGATGTGAAGCCTGAGACATTGTATACAACACTCATTTCAGAGCACAACACTTGATCCAGCTCATCTTGACAAAAGAAGCCATTAAATGTCTAATGTGGAGACCTGCTAAAACCCTTTGCAGTTTCCCTCTTCCTTGAGAGCTGCCTGAAGAATATGAACTTGTTCCCTATACCTCCTGTGCAGTTTGCCTTCCAGATTCTCCCCATCTCTCCCACAAACATTTCATCCATTTGGAATGAACATCTATTATGAATGAAGCCTAATTTAGCCTCGTAAGTAAGCCTTAGATGTACATTTTCACGATGCAGAAACTTCACCGCTCATCTTAACTACAGAGCATTCTGATGTTTTAACTTAAAAGCAAAGCTTTCTCCATCTGGTAATTTAAGGAAGATACCTGAACTAACACAAGTTGGAATGCTAAGTGTCTCTATGCAGCCAGCACTGCTGGGAGATTCTGCCCTGTAGGTAATACATTGGGATGACTGTTATAGGGCTAATAATGCTCTTCACTTTTTATTAGCCTTTTCTTATTGTTAAGAAACTATATAGCACAGGTTTATTTTTGCCCTTGGTACAAATAAGTCAGAAATATAAAGCAAACAAAACCACGTAAATTATAATCTTGAGTTTCAAGTACAAACTAAGATCCTCACCGATGGCCCATATCCCATGAAAGAAAACAGGCAACTAAGTGATGGGTTTTGTTCACCTGTATAGAACAGGTGTTAGCCTGACCCAAGAAAGCACTTACTTGGAAATAGGCGTATTTATAAATGGTGCCACCTGTCTGGTAAGGAACCACCCCCAGTGTCGCCACATCCAAATACTGGTTTGGAAAAAGGAACAGATCTACACAGCAGCCCTGGGCCACACAGTCCTTGGCCAAGTTGCTGTAGAAGCTCGTCTGAGGCTGAAACAAAGTCTAGGAAGGACAGATGGAGTACAGAGATTGAAAGGGAGTGGAAAAAAAGGGAACATGAGACCAGTGTAACTGCTACAGACAACATACATATTTCTTCAGTGTATTAAGGTATGTGAGGCACCTTTCCACCTAGGATTAAATAGGTACTAGGTGTAAATCTTCTACAGTGATGGTGCAGAACTTCTTAGTTATACAATTATTCTCCCCCCTCCTTGGGTTCTGAATTCTAATACTACCCACTCTTGTTCCCGACACAGAAGTGTTTTCTGTCCTTATAGTTAACACATACTCAGTTCCAGATGGCAACCCAAGGGGAATAGCCATTAGATAGAAAATTTTCAGTTAGCTACTATGGAGACTTTACATCTCTTCTTGATTCCTTCTAGGTTACCCCAGAGCAATACAAACTCTCTTCTAAGCAGCACATCAATTGTTACCTTTTCCTTATCTGTGTTGATTAGCTTCCTGTCATCTCTGTTCTTCAGCTTCCCTGGAGCCTCTGCAATGGGCAGTGAGGTGTGAAAGATGAAGAGCTTGCCAGCACACTCTGCCGCCTACAGGGGAGGGGATGAAATTGCTTAGGTGAGAAAGAGCTGATGAGGAACAGTGGATTTCTCAAGAAGAATATCTCTGGGACTACATTAAATGCCTATATTATCACTGGTTCCTCTATACTAGTTAGGTACTTAATCCTTCACTGATGTGACCAGGTAGTTGATGAGCCTACCTGTCTGAGATTAATAGCTCCCATGTTTTGTGGATGAAACAGAAGTACAGTTATAGAGAATGCAGTGGATTTTGGAAACAGCTTCCTCAGCTTATTATTTTTAAAACACTATCCCATGCCTAAGGTATCTTTTTAATGGTTCAACTGCCAGCAGGTAAATCCCCCAGTCCTTAGATACCTCATGAGTGGGATACCGAATGGCTTGTCTTTGCTTTTCCTCTCAGTGTAAGTGAATATGGATAACAATTCTCATGAACAGGTATCAGCAGTGTTTTCTAGGGAATTCTCACATGATTAGCCAATGGATCAACACATACAGGTTTGAGCTGGGTCAGGTATTGGGATGGGAAATCTTTAGAAATGGTCTAGAAGCTTTGCAAAAGTGATGTTGGCAAATTAGTGGTGGTGTCCTCTCTGAATCAGAACTAAAGCAACTGCCAGAGCAATCTTTCAGAGGAGACATAAAACCAGGGTCCTAAACCATTTCCAAGTTCCCATGGCACTTTTTGTAACAATGTGCATATCTACCTCAGGGACCTGACCAATTTTCATCTCAGGCAATTATTCTAAACTACAGTTAAAGTCCTGTGCAGTTTCAGTTGCATAGGGTATTCTTCACTTTCTATCCTAAACAATTAATTGAGCAGGTTAAAGAGCTGCTAACTTGAACCACACAGGTGGTTGCATTTCATTGATGGGTTAAGCATTCCCTACCGATTGCATACACACCTGAGGGGAACAACCACCTTGTTTATGAACAGTACTTAGATTCTCTAAACAGAGGTGCTTCCGCTGTAAAAACAGAACCTTTAGCAGAATTAACCAACTCCCCACAACAGCATGTCAACAAACCTTCAGTGCCTCCATTCCTGCCTGAATCACTGGGGCAAAGACAGTTTCTGTTTCTCTTGTGTCTGCAAACATTTCCGGGATCTGGTCCAGCAAACTGCCAGGAAAGAGGGAAAAGGAGAATATCAAAAGGGATTCAAAGCTCACCTTCTAAATCCATAGCTGGTGACCTTTGGGACTGAGGTGCATTGTAAATAGTGATTATTAACATGACTAATCCTTCTCTAACCTGCATGCTATTGAGTTTCTTAAACGGATCTTTAGTCATCTCTCCATCCACTTCCTCTGCCTGCATTTGTCTCCTCAGTGCACATTCTAAGGCCCCAACTAATGCTTCTTCTAATAACTTCCTCTTCTCCTTCGAAGTTACGATCTGAGCTTCCTATTCTTTGTTCCTCAGGAACATCACAGGCAAGACAGTGAGCAAACTCTAGTTTCTAACTTAAAGGTTCTACTGTCTTCCGTTCGTTCCCCTTCAGTTGCTTCACTGCGCTCCTTTCTAAATTTCTGGGTAATAAGAATAAGTCCCAGTCTCACTCAGTTAATAAGCTTAATATGCTTATTAGTTTTATGTAAGCCACTCACTCATTTTTCCCCACAGAATCAATTTAGTCAGCAGTCACCTCAACTCTCGGCTACTAAGCAGTAACCTCAGATAAACTGACTCTGTGAATTCCGTTATGATCTCCTGCTCTCAGTGACAGTCTAACAGATTCTTGTCTAAAGGTCCCATTTTGCCTTTCTCTTAAGGTCCCATTTTGCAGCCTCCTGCCAGTTCAGTCACAGTTCTAGTTGAGCAAGCTCAGACAACCCCGACAATGAAGTGAAATACAGCTGTATTCCAAGGTGTGCATCAGTTGCTAGTATATCATGTGCTGGTTATTGTCTTTTAGCATTTTCTAACAAACTGGCACATATAAAACTTTGTAGAGGCTATTAGAGTTGCAGCATCCTGGCAACATAAGGATACCCCCAATCACAGTGCACCTCCCTGTTCTTTGCCAGCTCCATTGTGGGCATACTTAACATTAAAGTTATACCTAAACACTATTAAATGTATGATTCAAATACTATAGCCAAGCATTGTACAACTGGGCATTATCAGAGTTGGATCCTATTTCAACACAGTATGGGTCCCTTTGACAAGCCATTTACTGCACATTTCTACCCCAGTCCCTGTTACCTGACAATAACTGTCCTGGACTCATTCACGTTCACCAGGAAGCCATCAAGCAGCGGCACAAACATATCAGCTACGTCCGACACAACCATCATTTGCGGCTGTGCCAATGAGCTCTTCACATTATAGAAGTGCAACACTTTGTTGTAAGTGACGAAGCCCACCCGAATGGCTGACTCTTCCATGTTGCCTTCCCTGTAAAATAAAGACACTTACTGCATCACAGGGGGTCATTGAAAGCACAACTGCTGCAATATGCTGAATCAAATAGAACAAACCAGGACTAGAGAATGGGTAACTGTACCATCGTTCCTAGTGGATAGGTAACCACAACTGGTACTAAGTTGGGCACAGCTCCTTTGTTGGGCACAGACTGAATGAGCCTGAAGGTGGCCACCCTCAACGCCATCCCTTCAGGACAGGGCTGAGTCACACTGCTGGGCCAGCGTATGGAGGCTTGCAGTGCTACTTGCCAGGCTCATGCATGCTGTCAACCTTCACTTTTCACCAGCAGTAAAAGCATTCTAAAGGGAGTGTCCCCTCTGCAAAGGCATAGAGGGGTAGCAGCTTTGCTGCAGTTGTTGGCTGCGACAGTACAGAACAAAGGAGCTAGTTACCTGGGCAGGTAATCCAGGAGTGACTTCAACTCTTCACAGATCAGCCTCACCAAGCCACTCTTTACAGCATTGTAAGACACATCAATCATGAAAATGAAAGCAGGTGGATTGGGAAACTTGTTATTCTGTGGGAAGAGGGAAAGAAGAACATTACACCATGCTTAAGAAGAGATCATACAAAGGCTCTGCTACCCAGACAAAGTAATGCCGTCAAAACCCCAATGACTTCTATTTAGTAATCAGTTAAGAGCAGAAACTAAGATACTGGCATTTAATTTGCTTCTCCACTCCCACCCAATTAATTTAAGTATGTCTGAATCCTAGTATCTGACACATCACAATCATGCATGGAAGGGCTCTAATGTCACAAGCCCTAGATGGAATGTAGCATCGCTGAGCGACTGAGCAGGAAGAACAGGCTTGGTATAAAGGAAGCTCCTGTTTACATGGACCAGGCCTGATGGTGCGGGCAGCAGGCAGGCAGGATTTCCCAGAACTCTCATGCTCTAGAAGACTTTGGAAGTTAGTGTCTTGCACTGGGAATGAAGACCTTCCTCCCGCAGAGCTGGGAGTCCTTATTTCTCAGAGCACTGATTCTGCTTTGAAGAGGCTGGTTCCAATCAGCACTTCCTTTCTTTGCAAGTCTACAGTCAGAATGGAAAGTAGAGCACAGGACAGACAGACCACTGAAGCAACAGGGTAGCGAGTGCCTCACTACTGGCATACATGGAATCTTAAGCTATTAGAAGAGAATGGAGACACACAGATTCCTTCCCGGGAGGAAGGGGAGAAGGAGAAGGAGAGAAAGGACTTTAATAGGGTGGCAGAACTGGTGGCAAGATGTGAAAAATCAGAGAGGAATATGGAGAATATGGAAGAGTGTGGGGAAGGCCTTCTACCCCACAATCCCAGTTGGCTGTTTTGCCTGAAGTGTGGAGATGTGTTTGAAAGCTGTGCTGCCAGCTCTCAGTAAAATCAAAAGTATGGTCATGGTCAGTAAAAAGCTGCAACATTTAGAAAACTATTTTCCTATCCTTTTCAGCAAACAGATGAGTATTTTTAATATAGAACTCTAATACATGTGTCTTTCTCCAAAAAAGGGTCTGAAAAATTAGGATACTGTTTAAACTGACTAATGTGTAGAATCTGAAGCAGGTGAGTTTTCCAGACTATTATAGGGTTTCAAATATGTGATCAGATTTACTGGCCTTGCATCTTTGAAACCCTCTTTACAAAACGCGATTACTGCCAGTAACTGCTGTAGGGGCTTGCTCTAGCCCATTAGTTCCCATCTCTAACTGCTCAATTCCCAGTGACTATCTGGCAACAGAAACTTGTCTTCTCTAGCAGATGGCAGGCAAGGTGCAGCTGCCACTGTGGATAGATAGCTTGTACTTTCCTAGATACGGTTTTAGTTACTGGTAATAATTACTGATATTATGGGATGTGCAATCTGACTTACTTTACAGTGGAAAGCAAGTATGTAAAATCTGACCTGATTCAGATGTATAAGGAGATGCCATCAATGGACTTTACCACCTAGAAAGTCAATCCAGCTGATTCAGCCTCCACTTAGTTTCTCAGAGGACATGGGATTTATTTAACATCATAGCAATGCACTAACTGTACACTATTGTACCTTACAGTAGCTGACTGTTGCCAAAAACTCATAGGAGCCCAACGATAATTCAGGTCGATCATAGAAATCCACTCTCTTGCCAGTATGATCCAAATGCTGGAAGTAGTGAGGAGGCACTAGGGACAAAGACATCAAATTTTGCAGACACGTACTTTGTTTACAACAGTTAATACCTTAACTGTCAACGGACAGCAAACCTGGTGACAGCTGCAGTGAGTGTTCGACTACACCAAAGGAAAGCTGGTCCGTGCTTTGCACTAGTGTGCATGTGACCATGACTGGGGAATCTTTACTGGCAGCCTAGGAGCAGCATTAACAGACTCAAGAGCTGTGCTCAGTCAGAAATATCACTACAAAAAATCACCTTGTACCAGAATCTGGGTTGCTTCAGAGGATTTTCCCCAAATATAAGATTGAGTTAAATGGTAAAAGGGGTGCTGACATCAAGTGATTCAAAGAGGATTTTGAGATAAGTTAAAGGTTCACCATGTGCATCTCCATAAGAAGAGAGATAGCCCCACCATGCTGCACATACAGCCTCTGATGGCAGAGTCTGCTACAGCGATGCTGCTAGCACAGGAAGGGCAGTTATGGTAGGCCACAGCCATTATGGGCAAAGCACTGCTTGTGAAGCAGTCTGCCTAGCCTTTGCTACTCACAGTGTGCCACTAAAGGCTGCAATATACATGCAGGGCTAATTTAGCTGCAAACTAAAAAGTTCAGATGCACATGTCTGTGCCCAAATGCACTTTGGAAATAGTTGAGCAGGTACCTAATGTGTGTTTGAGGGGGTAGATGAGAAGAGAGGAGGTCTTCTCCTAACAGACAATAGCTGCAGAATTGTGGGACGCTCTCTTTTCTTAAGGTTCACAGGTAAGACAATCCCCTGCACTATTCCTACAGTGACCAGGACAGTGTGTGCAGTGTGCAGGACAGAGATACCTAGTCAAATGGCTGCAGATAATGGAATTTCTTTTTTCTATTTTTATTTAAAAACTATATTGAGTATTTTGAGAATTTTAATGTAGGACAGTTCACGACTGACAGAAATAACAAAATTACAAAGACTGCCTAAGCAACCTTACTCTGCCCCTTTGAGAATAAGCATGACCACTATTTCTCAAATAATAAGACATGTAATTTGTTTTACAACCTTAAATACATGTGTAGCATCTTGTAGTTCTATGCACTACTCTGTGCATGCTAGAGCATGGAAGTCATTTATATGAGAAGCACACAGTAAATTATACTATTTAACCTGGAGTATATTGTGTATCAACTTAGAGTAACAGTGAAGACTAAACAGTCAATATACCATTGCCATTTACAGCTGTTAATTGCCTCACCACTGAATGGCACCTAAGTAGGCTGCAATGTTGGTTGAAAAGAAGCTACAGTACATGCTGTTGACTAAATTGTTGAGAGAAAAACATTAATCTATTTAAATGCAAGTCATAAGAACGTAAGAATGGCCATGCTGGGTCAGACCAAAGGTCCATCTAGCTCAGTATCCTGTCTTACAATAGTGGCCAATGCCAGGTGCCCCAGAGGGAATGAACAGAACAGGTAATCATCAAGTGATCCATCCCGTTGCCCATTCCCAGTTTCTGGCAAACAGAGGCTAGGGACACCATCTCTGTCAATCCTGGCTAATAGCCATTGATGGACCTATCCTCCATGAACTTATCCAGTTCTTTTTTGAAACCTGTTATAGTCTTGGCCTTCACAACATCCTCTGGCAAAGAGTTCCACACTTTGACTGTCAAAAGTCAAAAGCATTCTGGACAACGGAAACAGAGTAAGTAAACAAATTAACAAACGTAAGATACTACGTGTGTGTTCAATGATGAGAAATGTATATTCTAGTTTGAGAAATAGTATGTGATCATTTAGCTCAGGGGTCGGCAACGTTGGCACGCGGCTCGCCAGGGTAAGCACCCTGGCGGGCCGGGCCAGTTTTATTTACCTGCTGACGCGGCAGGTTCGGCCGATCGCGGCCCCCACTGGCCGCGGTTCGCCGTCCCGGGCCAATGGGGGCGGCGAAAAGCTGCGGCCAGCACATCGCTTACCCGCACCGCTTCTCGCGATCGGCCGAACCTGCCGCGTCAGCAGGTAAATAAAACTGGCCCGGCCCGCCAGAGTGCTTACCCTGGCGAGCCGCGTGCTAACGTTGCCGACCCCTGATTTAGCTAGACAGGCAAACACACAGGGGGTACGGTTCAATTTACTTGTGCAATCAACTTTAGCATTTCAGACTTGAGCACTTAACTGTGTGCCTCAATGTACTTTTTGTGAAATATTTTGAAGAATACAGAATTGCAGCGCAGAAGCCAACAAACTGTGCTCTACTCTGCTCTAGGGTTTTCTATGCCATGAAGACATCTCTAATGAAATCATTTCTTTGCACCTCCTTGAAACATCTTTCAGATTCTAGAAAAAAGGCTTACCCTCAGTGACGCAGCTGCAGAAGCAACACTGGAATCTCCTTCCACCCTCAATGAACTGCATAAAAGGACACATGTAGGCCTTGCACCGATTGCACCGTATAGGACCAGGTTCTCCATGGTCTACCAAATAGGGAGGGGCCTGAGGAGCAAAAGACAGGTCACATAGTAGTGGGAGGGGAAGTGTATATAGGCATCAAAGAACTTGAAACTTCCTCCTGGTAGACTATGCAGGCCTTAGCATTTTAACAGCGGTGGAGTCCAAGCGTTTGGAATACATTTCATAAATGCCTTATTGTCTCAAGCTCCTAGTGCAGGAGCTCTTCAGTGGGCTGCAGTTGTTAACAGTCAGAAGAGTGCAGTGAATACCAGAAGAAGTGGAGAAAGATTAAGTGCAGGAAGCATTTCCTTAGATGCTTTTGTGCAGTTGTGGGAATTCTTTTTGTATACTCAAATTAGCTGGCTTGTAAGTGTTTGGACTTTGGATAAGTGCTATTTAAAGATAACTTTTTTCTCCACCCAAGCTCATGTGCTGATATCTAACAGCCTGCCCTCTGCACTTTACCCCAAGGCCCATAGCAGTAACACGACAAGCCTCTTTCTACACCAGCCCAGTAAGATCAATTATTTGAGACTTTCTCAAATGCCATATTCCCATTCTCTCACAGAAAGTAACTCTAGGGAAACCCACTGCCAGATACAGAAAGGCTTACAACTGCTAGAATTAATTCCACTCCCAAAGGTGTAAATATCAGCCACTTCACTTTATGTAGCACATTTAACCTCTGAATTCTTTGTGAGAGACTGGGGGAAAATTCTGATCGTGCATCAAGCAACCGAATTTGAATTTAGCTGCTCAAGAACAAGAAAACATGGATGCCTCGATTTTCAGTCTGCAGTCTCATTATCTCAATTAAATTAAACTAAACTATTGTTGCTGCTGTGATTGTCTAACATATTTCTCTGCATTCTGCTTTGGACTACTGGGCCAAGCGTACTCATTTTTCATGAGACTATTATACACTCAGCTTTGTCCCACCTTTAATATAAAATTAAAATACCACTGCCACCACCGTTCTGAGAGTCCGCACAGAGATAATTTCAAGTAAACAGCTAAATCAGTATACATCGGGGATGATGTCCATCTGATTTGAAACCTAGGTCCGATCATGTTGAATAGCACTAGTTAAGCCCTCCCCTACTGCTGCCTGCTGTTGCATGCTCACTGTGACTATGCCCACAAATCTTTTGTTCCTGATTTCTCTTCAAGCCAGTAGAGAATTTCTTGACGGGGCTGGAAAGCAACTACATTTGGGCCATTCGCTCATATCTACATCAAATCCTGGAGCGTGCCTCGCCGCAGACGGGTGCATGAGCTTACTTTGGTGGAAAGTGGAAAACCTAACCTTGTCTTTTGTAGTACTTAGTGGCCAATGAAAACAGTATTTCCATAGCAATGTATCCCAAAAGGCAGGTGGTCTAGTGGTTAAAAGTCAATGGCTTTGTCTATACTTTAAATTTAGATGGATGTAGCTACATTGCTCAGCAGTGTGAAAAATGCATACTCCTGAGCATAGGCACCAACTTTGTGGGAGTTCCAGGGCTGGAGCACCCATGGAAAAATAGTGGGTGCTCAGCACTCACCAGCCACAGCTGTTTGGCAGCACTGTGAGGGGTTTGAGGGAGGGCAGAAAGCAGCGAGCAAGCGGCCCTGGGGAAGGGGGTGGAGTGAGGGCAGGGCCTTGGGGCACAGCAGGGGTGGAGCACCCCTGGGGAACAATAGAAGTCAGTACCTATGCCCCTGAGTGCCAGGGCTATGCTGACCTAATCCCCACTGTAGACATGGATAGGTTGACAGAAGAATGCTGAACTCCTGTTCAGGGAGGTGGAATATCTAATGACAGAAAAACCCCATAATCCTGGTAGGTCCAACAGTTACTTCCTGAAGCCTCAAATGCTGTCAAACACAGGTACCATCTGGTGAGCAGGTGCTGGATTTTATACATTCTAGATTTGTCTGAATGCCTTGTTTTTAACAATCCTTGTTCTCCTCCTTCACACCCTGTACATATAACTTTAGCTCCATTTACAGGGTCTTATTTCTCTCAACGGGTGTGGGATACTCAGCTGAGCACTCATTTGTTAGCAAGGCCCCTTCACAAGGGAGCCAGCCCTTATCCACAGTCTAAAAGTTTCCAGTGCTGGGGGTTGAGTGAAGTCACTAAAGCAGCTTTTTGCCTTTGGCCACATTTTACTGGACATCACAAATCAACACATTTATTCAAAGCACGCATACATCAAGGTTTGGAGAATGAGTATTGGGATGTACTTAATACTTCACTTCCACAGAATCACCGCTTCAAATCCCACCCTCCCGTCTCTGAAATGAGGCCACATCTAATTATCCCTTTGTAGTTCCTTTTACTCACTCAGACGCCACACTACAGAAATTAACTTCAAGGCAATTCAGATTATCAAGAGTCAGAAAACAGATTTCCAAGACCTACAGACTACTCAATGGATTCTAATGCGAGTTGAACAAGCAAGGCACTTGATGGCTGAGCAGACTGTACCACTCAATTTAGACATCCAGCCTGCAAGGAAATGGTGAATTCACTGTTAGGAACAGCAATAGACTCATAGACTTTAAGGTCAGAAGGGACCACTAGGATCATCTAGTCTGACCTCTTGCACAACGCAGGCCACAGAATCCCACCCACCCACTCCTGTAACAAACCCCTAACCTATGCCTGAGTTACTGAAGTCCTCAAATCATGGTTTAAAGACCTCAAGGTGCAGAGAATCCTCCAGCAAGTGACCCATGCCCCACGCTGCAGAGGAAGGCGAAAAACCTCCAGGGCCTCTGCCAATCTGCCCTGGAGGAAAATTCCTTCCCGACCCCAAATATGGCGATCAGCTAAACCCTGAGCATGTGGGCAAGACTCACCAGCCAGCACCCAGGAAAGAATTCAGATCCCACCCCATCTAACATCCCATCACAGACCATTGGGCATATTTACCTGCTAATAATCGAAGATCAATTAATTGCCAAAATTAGGCTATCCCATCATACCATCCCCTCCATAAACGTATCAAGCTTAGTCTTGAAGCCAGATATGTCTTTTGCCCCCACTACTCCCCTTGGAAGGCTGTTCCAGAACTTCACTCCTCTAATGGTTAAAGACAAGTAATGCAGGCCTGTAACTACAATGTGTATTCATAGCACTTACCTTTAAATTGCTCCACAATCTTTAAGCCTCTCAACAGCCTTGTAAGGTAGGCAAGGATTAGTCATGTTTTACAGATGCAAAGTGAAAGCAGCAGAGGAGTAACAGACTAAAGCAGGGCAGAGACATGGACAGACCTCAGGCATTCCTGGCACTCAGTGCTGTGCTCAACACACCGCCACATACACACACATGCATGTCACAAACAACTAACTCAGTACTATTTGATACACAATCTTATTTGATTCCACAGCTTCATCTGCTACAAAAGATCTCTCTTCAGTGACTTGGAACCATTTTAAGTAGCAATGGCAGAACGAGCCAGGTGGGCCGGGGAGAGGGTGTGAAGGGGAGCGGGAGCCGGGCGAGTGAGCGGTGCTGCCAATGAACAGTTTAGCCACACAGCAATTGACTTGTTTGGCGAGAGGTGTGGGGAGGGTTAAGAAGAAACTAGCTGAACTCTGCTGATAAAGTGGGGAATCTAAAGTACTTATTTACTTGAGGGCATTCTGCGCCAAAAAATTAAAATTTCTGCAAATTTTATTTGTCAAATAAATGTGGAGGCTCAGCGGGAGGGTTTGGGTATGCGGGAGTCTGGATGCATGGGGGTTGGGAGGATGGGGGAGCAGCTCCCTGTTCAGTGATCCCTTCCCCCTGCAGCTGAGGAGCGATGGGTGCAGGAAACACATTGGGGAGAGTGGGGGAGAGGGAAGAGAAGGAAGGGGGGCAGTTTGCAGAGCTTCCTGAAGCCAGGGGAGAAATTTGGGGGTGGGTCTGACAGCCCCGGATGCTGTGCAGGGGAAGAGGAAGTCCTGCCCTCCCCAACCCAGCCAGGACTAGCAGCTGAGCCCAGCGCAGGGTAGGAGGCACCAGCCAGGTCTTCCCCAATCCCACCCCCTGCACCACAGTGATTTACCTCTCTGCCAGCTGCCTTGGGCACCCGAAACATACTGCTGGGGAGGGTTGTATGAACGGTCTTGTGGCTTCCCTTTCCTTCCCAGTCAGAAAGTCATTTTTCTGCAGGGAAGCAAAGAAATCTGCGGGGGACATAAATTCTGCACATGCGCAGCGATGCAGAATTCCCCCAGGAGTAAATAATATTGTAGTGGTCAAATTTAAATTAAATTAAATTAAATTAATGGAGATATCCTATCTCCTAGAACTGGAAGGGACCTTGAAAGGTCATCGAGTCCAGCCCCCTGCCTTCACTAGCAGGACCAAGTACTGATTTTTCCCCAGATCCCTAAGTGGCCCCCTCAAGGACTGAACTCACAACCCTGGGTTTAGCAGGCCAAAGCTCAAACCACTGAGCTATCCCTCCCCCCTGTTCTTCAGTTCTTTCATAGAACATAGCATAGCCCACTCACGCCTAACAATTATTTGACAGTGTACATTTGTTGAGAACTGGTGCTTGCTTAATCTTCATCCTCTAAACTCTCCTTCCACAAAAATTTAAATTATCTAGCTCCCATAGACAGACATATACTGAATAAACGAGCTGCCAGGAGTTCAGAGTCTCTTAACTGCAGGTCCAAGATGTTGCTCTCACCTCATCTGTGGGTAGCGTAGCCAGTGGTTTTATGACAGCAGCTAGGGGAACCTGGGATTGTTTGGCCATATCTGAGGTGCAAGGAATATTGTAAGATGTGCATCTTATGTAGCGAGGGCTCGCGTTACCTGGAGGGGAGAACAGAGATAAATACAGAGCTTTAATAAAGGTTATATTTCTATATTAACATAAGTATCATGGGCAACATGTCAAGTCATAATGCAGACTTTCCGGCTCTAAGGGTTGTAGAGATTCCATTTTTAATGCAAACAGCCTGTGTCTGGCAGTATAGAAAAAGTGACATGACTGCAGAATAAGTGTATTTATACATTTTTGAAAATGTGGGAGTGATAGCTGTCCCTGTAATCAGACATAACGCAGGCAGATATAAGGAAATCTTTCCCCTTCTCACCCAACCCCCAGATCAAGCAATGCCTCTCATTCATGAGATAAACACCATAATTAAGGTTTCCTCACCACCATGGTGGCTGGAAGCTGTGGGGTTCCCCCTTTGCCCACGGCAGCTGGGAGCTGCAGGGTGACCATATTTCCCAAAGAGAAAATGGGACATCCCAGCTGCTCGCCCGAGGCATCCCCCTCTCCTCGTGCGAGGTTGTCTCCCGTCGCTGGAACCCTGAGGAGGGCCTCCTCAGGAGTCGGTCACCTGTCGCTGAAACTATGCAGGGGGCCCTATTGCTTGTTGCTGCTGTCGCTGGAACCCACTGGGCCCCACTGTCTGTCAGCTCCAGAGTCCTGCAGCCCCTGAGGCTGAAGCAGAGAATGTCATGGAGGTCTCCAGAGGTCACAGATTCCGTGACTTCCATGATCTCCGTGACATAAACGTAGCCTTAACCATAATGCATTTCTATTCCTAGAGCTCTGTGTTCCCACAGATCCAGTGGATATAGTGTATTTAGATTTTCAGAAAGCCTTTAACAAGGTCCCTCACCAAAGGGTCTTAAGCAAAATAAGCAGTCATGAGATAAGAGGGAAGATTCTCTCATGGATTGGTAACTGATTAAAAGATAGGCAACAAAGGGTAGGAATAAATGGTCAGTTTTCAGAATGGAGAGAAGTAAATAGTGGTGTCCCCCAGGGATCTGTACTGGGCCCAGTCCTATTTAACATATTCATAAACGATCTGGAAAAAGGGGTAAACAGTGAGGTGGCAAAATTTGCAGATGATAGAAAACTACTGAAGATAGTTAAGTCCCAAGCAGACTGCGAAGAGCTACAAAAGGATCTCACAAAACGGGGTGACTGGGCAACAAAATGGCAGATGAAATTTAATGTTGACAAATGCAAAGTAGTGCACATTGGAAAACATAATCCCAACTATACATATAAAATGATGGGGTCTAATTTAGCTGTTACCACTCAAGAAAGATCTTGGAGTCATTGCGGACAGTTCTCTGAAATCATCTACTCAATGTGCAGCGGCAGTCAAAAAAGCAAACAGAATGTTGGGAATCAAGAAAGGGATAGATAATAAGACAGAAAATATCATATTGCCTCTATATAAATCCATGGTACACCCTCACTTTGAATACTGCATGCAGATGTGGTTGCCCCATCTCAAAAAAGATATATTGGAATTGGAAAAGGTTCAGAAAAGGGCAAAAAAAAATGATTAGGGGTATAGAATGGCTTCTGTTTTAGGTGAGATTAATAAGACTGGGATTTTTCAGCTTGGAAAAGAGGCGACTAAGGGGGGATATGATAGAGGTCTATAAAATCATGAGTGGTATAGAGAAAGTAAATAAGGAAGTGTTATTTACTCCTTCTCATAATACAAGAACAAGGGGCCACCAAATGAAATTAATAGGTAGCAGGTTTAAAATAAACACAAGGAAGTATTTTTTCACGCAATGCACTGTCAACCTCTGGAACTCCTTGCCCAGAGGGTGTTGTGAAGGCCAATACTATAACGAGGTTCAAAAGGGAGCTATATAGATTCATGGAAGATAGGTCCATCAATGGCTATTAGCCAGGATGGGCAGGAATGGTGTCCCTAGCCTCTATTTGCCAGAAGCTGGGATTGGGTGACAGGGCATGGATCACTTGATGATAACCTGTCTGTTCATTCCCTTTGGGGCACCTGTCATTGGCCACTGTCAGAGGACAGGATACTGGGCTTGATGGACCTTTGGTCTGACCCAGTATGGCCATTCTTATGTTCATAAAACTGCCAATGCACCTCAGTTCTGATGTGTAACACCCCTGCTACTCCAGTATGGATGCACCTCTCAGCTGTACCCATGAAACTGAGTTCTTCTTCGAGTGCTCCCACATGTCTATTCCAACATAGGCTTTTGCATGCCCCAAGTACAATTGCCAGAATTTTTTTCCTTTGTAGTACTCATCGGGTCGGCTTCAGCGCCCTCTGGTGCCACGTGCTCATAGCGCTGGTATAAAGGGCCCCACTGACCCCACGCCCCTTCAGTTCCTTCTTACCGCCTATGATGGTTGCTGGAACTTCCCTCATTGCTCAGGTAATTTCTCCCAGTGTTTTTTTCTTCTCTTTTCTAGTGCATATAGTTATTGTAGTTTACTTAGTGAGTTTTGGACACCTCTATACTTGGTTGGAGAGACTTATCTGTGCTCCGGTACCAGGGCATGCCTCAGTCACCAGGCCTCAAGTCCTTTGCTTCCTGCGGCAAGTCGAGATCCTTAAGTGACCCGTACTTGAGCTGTCTCAAGTGCTTAGGGGAAGATCAGAAAGACTGTTGCTAGATCTGCAGGGACATTAGATCCCCATCAAGAAAAGACCAGGAGGCAAGGCTGAAGGTCCTCCTCATGGACGCATCCCTAAGACTAGCATTGGAGCCACACTCAGACTTGGCACCAAGCACCTCAGCTTTAGTGCTGAGTGCTCTTCTCACCAATTGAGAGTTCTGGCACTGATTCTCCTCCCTGGCGCCTCAGAAGCAGCATTGTAAGCACCAGGAGAAGAGTTGTTCCCCAGTGCTGAAAGGAAGCAGGCCAGGGGATCTTGATAGAGTGAGACCTGTGTCGAGCCGCTCTCCCTCTCCAGCACCGCAGCACCCACCTCCACCAGTTTCAGTACCACCACAAACGCCGCTAATTCTAGTGCGGAAAGTGCCATCCTCCAGCAGACACTGTACTGGTCAGTTTGTGGTACCATCAACCCTAGAGGCATTTGCGGCTGCTAGAGACCTGCTCACTCTCCCGGTCCCAGAGATTCAGGACTGCACTGCTGGTACCGATGAGCAGCAGAGAGCTATCCTCCAGCTTTCATGCGGCACCACTAGGGGAGCCTCGGCTCAGACTTCTCCGTGACACCGTTCGCCAGCACTGCCTTCGTCTCCCCCCACAGCCTGTCTTCCTCATTGGAGTCTAAATTGGGGCCCTACTCTCCCCACTGTCAGGACTACCCACACTACTCCCCACACTATTCCTATCCTGCTGCGGCCTCAGGTGCTATGGTGCCCCCAAACACTTGGCCTCCAGGACTGTGGGGACCGGCACTCATGCAATGGCCTTTTTGGAAACCATGGGGGTTCCCCCAGGCCAGGGCACCGTTATGAGGCGTTCGTATTCTGTGACCTCAGAAAGTAGGGCACCTCCGATACTGCACCGCGAGACCCCAGACCCAGACTCTGGTGCCAAGCCCAGGGCCAAACCTCAAGAGGAGGTCCCACAGGTCTTGGAAGGGCAGAGGCCCCTCAACCAGCCTTAGCCTCTTCCTTCTCTTCCCCAGAAGAGGCAGTGGTGGCTATCGTGTGTCCCCACCTCAAGATGACCACAAGGCCCACCAGGACTTCTTAAAGCAGGTGGCCTCGAACTTAGGTATCTCCAAGCTGACGTGGTCAAAGAGACGACACACTGTTTATTGGACATTTTGTCAGCAACGGGTCCCTCAAGAGAGGCTCTACCCCTTAACAAGGCGATCATGGACCCGGTTAGAGCGCTTTGGCAGACCCCCGCTCCACTCCTATGGCCAAAAGGACAGAGCGCAAATACTTCATATCAGCCAAGGGGTATGAATTTCTGTTTTCACACCCTCCTTCAGGGTCTCTAGTGGTGGCGGCCATCAACGTGAGGGCCTGTCAAGGTCAAGCAGGGCCCACATCCAAGACAAAGGACTCCAAAAGCTGGGCTTGTTTGGCTGAAATGTCTATTCGACGGGTGAGCTACAACTTTGAATAACAAACCAGCAAGCATTGCTAGGTCGCTATGATTTTAATATGTGGGAGATGCAAAAATTTAAGGACATGCTCCCCCAAGAGGGCAGACAGGAGTTCTCTTCACTAGTGGAAGAAGGGAAGAAAGTAGCGAAGGCCTCCCTGCAGGCAGCCTTGGATACCACCGATTCTGCATCCAGATCGATGGCCACAGCTGTTCTAATGCAAAGAAGCTCATGGTTATAGTCTTCAGGGTTTCCTCAGGAGGTACAGCAAACCCTTCAGGACCTCCCATTTGAAGGGCCCTTGCTCTTTTCATAGCAAATAGACACCAAACTCCACGGACTTAAGGACTCTAAGGCGACCCTAAAATCTGAGTCTGTGTTTGCCAGTAGCATCCAGAAAACACTACAGGCCACCACAGACTGGACACTATTTTGCGCAGCCTGCCTTGCAAGATCAGCGGAGAAGGAAGAACAAAGGGTACAGGCGTAGGCCCCTTCTCCCAACCTCCTCCTCAGGCCTGCAATCTTCCCCTGCCACTTGGGCAGCTCAAAGCACTCATTTTGATGAGATGCTTGAGGAAGCCATCTCAGTCCCCTCAGTTTTTGATCCAGTTACCCCTTTGTTTTCTAACCGACTCTCCCGCTTCCTCAACGCCTGGACCCACATTATCTCGGACTGTTGTGGTCTAAGCACAATAGAATTAGGTTATACCCTCCAATTTTTATCCACCCTGCTCTCCTCCCTGTCCCTCTTCAGGGACCCTTCTCACAAGCAACTGTTGGAACAAGAAGTCCAATCCCTCCTTTGGGTGGGAGCTTGGAAGAGGTTCTGCACCATCTAAGAGGAAAGAGGTTTTATTACTGTTACGTGCTAATTCTGAAAGCCAAGGGGAGCACTCAGACCAATCCTAGACCTGCATCATCTCGACCACTATCTCAACAGCTAGAAGTTCCACACGGTCTCCATCATTCCTTTGC